ACCTCCCCTTAGCACCTCCAGGTGTTGCTGGTTTTTTAGCTTAACTGTTGTACTGGATAACATCATGCAGTTTATCCTCTGACAATCCAAGCCATTTTTTGTCTAATAGACTCGTCTAATATTCATTTTGGATTTGTTATGTGGATTTGTAACTAAATACTTGAAATGCATTAGTTTAAAACTTAGTCTGCAAGTGTCAGTTGTGACACCAACTTTTTCAATCTTTTATTAGTAATGGGGAATATATTAGTGAGCTAGTAAATTGATGAATTGCTAATATTTGCTTTTCTTTCTCTTTTGTCATTTCAGCAGAATGTCTTTTAAATTCTATTTATGTCTACCATGACTCTTGTTTACTAAGTATACACCATCTGTGATATGTAGCATCTGTAATACATGGTCAGAGGAAGTCTGTTAGTCACTTACTTATTTGCTAATCTATGCTTATAGCAAGTTAGTCATGTCCGGATTTGTTGATCTGTTCTTTCTTCTCATGTTGTTTGATGAGAAATGTTTACTCAATGCATGAAATGCACAAAGCCATAGTCCATTCAGCATTGAAGAGAAGGAAAGAGAGAATAAGTCAAGGGAGACAATTTCCAGTTGTTGATGATACTGACTCGTTGATAGTATTCCCTAATTTTAGGAATCCCAGTGGGCTTAAGACTCGTCAAAGACACATGGCAATAGCCACACTTGACAGGTGATGGTAAGGATTGCAAGGGTCATTGACCAAGTCTGCTTACCATATCCCACCTTTCCAGATGACCCTGTTCAGGTACTGTTGCATTGGAGAAAGAATAGAGGAAGTTCAGAGGCCTTTGGAACCACTCAGCCCCCGCCAGTATGAAGGGATGTTAATTGGCCTCAGGATGGGGATCTTCTCAGTCATGTGTGCACCAATATTGATCTCTAGGAAGCAGTAGTACAAAAAATTAATTTTGAACTCATCATATCTTCCTATTCTCTCAGAACAGGGTGTGTGTGATCCAGGTAGTTTGCAGGTGCTTTGGGTTTTGCTCGTCAACAATCCCATACCCTCTACCCTCTTTACAGATGCACTATCAGATCATGAGAAAGATGCCTTTCTACAGCACAATTCCAGGGTTTTTATTCAATACTATTTCGTTTTTGGAAAGCAAACAGCAAGTTGATACCCATCATCAACTAGAGTTACTTCAACTAATTTAAGATGGAGATGGTGAGATCAATCTGCCTCTCCATTTGGTGGGATGAGTTATGTTGTCAGTCTGACAGACATATTTTCATATTCGCACTGTAACACAAAAGTTTTCTGTTTTTGCTTTCCATGACACAGTTTATTAGTTCTCCCATTGGCCTTAACATCAGCCTTTGTGCTTTTATGAGATTATGGATTACGTTGTCACCCTGTTTTGATCAATGGAAAGGTAAGTTTTATTCTACTCCAGGGCAGGAATGATCTCTCTCTTTCAGAACTGTAAAAGGTCAAATCTTCGTCCATCCCTGAATTATGTCCATCTGGCCATAGACTTTTTAATATGCAGGAATCTCATGCAACTGCTTCATGTTCGCATAAGAAGAATTGTCAGGCTCATTGAGTCCATTTCCAACAGGATGTGGATTTCAGCAGGAGATTTTCTGCAACTCCTTGGTTTGTTCAATGCAGCAGTAGACTTATCTCACTAGGCTGTCTTTCATGTTGACATTGTGAGCACAATGGCTTCCCTTTAAAAGACCCCTTGATCAAACAGTCATGATCATGCTTGAGATTTGATCATTCCTGCATGATTGGTGCAGCCCAGGTTGGCTGACCATGGGAATCCTGCTAGAGAAGCCCCCTGTGGAAATAATAGTGGATTATTGATGCCAGTCCACGTGGTTAGGGTGCCCTGACCTTCGCTACTATCAGCAAAACGGGGGAGCTGGGGTGATTCTCTGCACAATAGCATCCTTGAAATGAAAGCTGTCATTAACGCCTTTCACTTCTGAAAGATCCACTTTGAGGCAAAAACAGTCCCTATTAGCATTCTTGAAATGAAAGCTATCATTAACGACTTTCACTTCTGAAAGATCCACTTTGAGGCAAAACCAGTCCCTATTAGGTCTGACAAAACTGGTGGTGACCTACTTAAACAGGGAGGCACCAAATCAATTGATCTGTGTGTTCTGATTTGGCAGTTTCTACATTGGTGTGACAACCTCCATATCAAAATTAAATTAAAGACACATTCCAAGCGGACTCGATGTTTTGGATGACACTATCCAGAAGAGGCCAAGTCCTTCACATGGTGTGGTCTTTCCATCGATCAGTCAGCACTCAGATTTGTACACTATATGGGCATTCAGTGTTCAACCTCTTTGCAACAAGATGGAATCACCAGCTACCCACTTTTGTCTCTTGACTTCCAGACCCAAAAGATTGAGCCATGGATGCACTGTCCACCATTTGAGAGGAATTTAGGGCATTTGAGACCTCTCTTACAGTGCAGAGATTAAAAATAATCCATAAGTTATAGGGCCAGTATGGTAAGGTAATTCTGATAGCCACTCTCCACTGGGATAAGACCAGAAACACTGATCTACTCATTCTAGCAATATGGCCAAGAAGATTCTGGCCGACCCAAATCTTCTACAGCAAACATGGTCTCGGGTAGTCCTTCCCTGCCTAGACTGTCTTCCTCTTTAACACACTTGGCTTTTATCAGGACTGTCTTGCATGATGAACAATTCAAACCTTTGATTGTGGAGAGAATCTCAAGAGTAAGAAGACTTCCATTGAAGGCTTATGAGGAAAAGTGTTCCAAGGGATTGGTGCCATGCCAGCATTGTCCCTCTGCATGCCTCAATCCCTCAACTGGCCAACTTTTTTCTCTGTCTCTTTGAGGGGATTTAGCATTGCAGATACAAACCATGAATCTGGTAGGTCCATTGGCATTAGCACAGATGGTCACCAGACCCAATTGGATCAATCAACTAAGCCTGTTAGCTTCACTGGATTTGCCAGTGAAAATTTTGTAGGTAAGATTTCAATATTCATCTTCTTAGCCATATGTTTGGGTCACAATAAAGTGACCTGGGGCTCTGTTGCTTATGTAATTAGGAAAACAGGTTATCATTCACATGGGTAATCCAGCTATTCTTCCATAGAACATATTTGAAGAAGAAAGCAAATTATGTTTCTCAGAAAATACTTACTCAGTCATATTACTTAAAAACCCTCCAAATCACCCTGACATGCAAGTATCCTTGTTAGTATCTCACTCAGCTAAACTCTAGCATGGGGAGGTAAAGGGCAAGAGTTATTGCCCATTGTTTATTAATACAGAAATATACTATTTTTGCTTTAGTAGGGCTGGATTCGTGAGGTAGCTTGCTAATATTCCTAATGTTTGATTGGTTAAACATTCTTATAGAAACATAATTTACTTAAAAATTTGCTTTTTGTACAAATATGCTTCCAAGAGAGAAATCTACGGTTCAGATTGCCTATTTTTTGGCATTTGGACTGTCAGGGGATATATTTGGTTCAAGGTTTTCTTTCAACTTATATTTTGGTAACCCTTACCAGTTCAGATGTATTTGATATCATCCTTTGTACCCAGTTCCATTTTTCTTGAAATCTGATTTTAAATCATTATCTTGATTGGGTTTTGAAATACGATTCTAAATCAATCTCTGGATGGGTTTTGAAATATTCTAAATCAATCTCTGGATGGGATTATGAAATTTGATTTTTAATCAATTTCTTGATTGGATTTATGAAATGTGATTCTAAATCAATCTCTTAGTTTGGAGTTTTGAAATATGATTCTAAATCAATCTCTGGATGAGATTATGAAATTTGATTTTTAATTAATCTCTTGATTGGATTTATGTAATATGGTTCTAAATCAATCTATGTTTGGGTTCATGAAATATGAATCTTCGTCAGTCTCGATTGGGTTTATGAAATACGATTCTAAATCAATCTCTGGATCAGGTTTATGAAATATGATTTTTAGTCTCAGGATGGATTTATGAAATATGATTCTAAATCAATCTCTGGATTGGGTTTATGAAATGTGATTCTTAATCTTTGGATGGAGTTAGGAAATGTACAAATGAATATTATGTGTTCTAATTTTCTTTGAATCTCTTATCATTATTTACAGGATTTATCGCAAAAATAGATCATGCATGGATATTGTACAACTTGGATCTTGTATGAATACTGTAGTATATTGGATCTTGCATAGATACTGTATAACTTTATCTTGCCTATTGTACACACCATTCCGATGGCTTAGTGGTTAGAGCGTTCATCTTGGATGCAGGAAGTCATGGGTTCGCTCCCTTGCCAAGTCATACCAAAGACTTTAAAAAATGGTACTAATAACTACCTCGCTTGGTGCTCAGCATTGGTTAGTGTTAGGAATGGTTGGCCTGGTGTCAGAACATGTCTGTGGCATGATGCCCCAGTGCTAGACATAATTATAAACTGTCACATAGTGATATGACTGAAAAAAATTGTTAAAGCTATGTTAAAAATCTTAATCACACACATACATATTGTACAACTTTGATCTTTCTTGCATGGATACTGTACTACTTAAATCTTAAATACAGCTTTGATCTTGCATGGATATTGCATAATTTATGCATTTACAGGGCTCCAAATTGTGAGTAAATTACTCAAAATTTTGACCAAAAGTTCTAATTTGCAGGTCAGTTTTGCCGAATAAGTTGCTGAAGTTTGACCCTTCCTCCCCCCCCCAAAAAAAATGGGCTTAAGCTCATTGATATCAATCACAGGGATTCTTACCTATCTTTTGTGATACATGTACTATTAAAAAAAAAACCTAAAAGGGAGGTCAGTTCTCGTGCGACTTTTATATGAATCAATGTTGATATTTCTTGGAACATTTCATGAAGCATAATTTGGCAAATGGCTACTTTATTTTTATGTTGGTAACCATTCTGTAACCAATACATTTGACCAACTTGGAACCATGGTGAAGAACTGCTGTATAACTTAATAAAACTTTTCAGGTGGCCTAGTGGTTAGAGCATCTGTCTCATATGCAGGAGGTCATGGCTTCAAACCCCAAATGAGTCAACCAATGACTTATAAAATGGTACTAACATCTCCCACACTAGGCATTCAGCATTAAGAGGTTAGGGTTAGGACTGGTCAGCCAGGTGTCAGGATAATATAACTTATTAATTATTAACTATCTGTAAATCTGGAAGATGTTTATGAGTGAATCTGATTTCACCTAAAACCAAATCATTTTCTTTCCCAACCCAATGGTCATATCATGAAGTAAACAAATCACATTCAACACTTGGTTAATTTTCATTGAAATACTCCTAACCATTTTAGCATACTATTTATCTTGCTGTAGTTGTCATTATTCTCTGAATTTAGTTACGTACACCAACAGTCTTTTGAAAATGGGAATGACATGTTTGATGGTCCTTAGAACTGTGGATATGCTAAGTCTGATGGAAGATTGCTCTTGCCTTCATTGATTGGTCCTTTATCTTTATTGTGTGAGGAAGGGATGCAGGAAGTCATGGGTTCGCTCCCTGGCCAAGTCATACCAAAGACTTTAAAAAATGGTACTAATAACTACCTCGCTTGGTGCTCAGCATTGGTTAGTGTTAGGAATGGTTGGCCTGGTGTCAGAACATGTCTGTGGCATGATGCCCCAGTGCTAGACATAATTATAAACTGTCACATAGTGATATGACTGAAAACAATTGTTAAAGCTATGTTAAAAATCTTAATCACACACATACATATTGTACAACTTTGATCTTTCTTGCATGGATACTGTACTACTTAAATCTTAAATACAGCTTTGATCTTGCATGGATATTGCATAATTTATGCATTTACAGGGCTCCAAATTGTGAGTAAATTACTCAAAATTTTGACCAAAAGTTCTAATTTGCAGGTCAGTTTTGCCGAATAAGTTGCTGAAGTTTGATCCTTCCTCCCCCCCCCAAAAAAAATGGGCTTAAGCTCATTGATATCAATCACAGGGATTCTTACCTATCTTTTGTGATACATGTACTATTAAAAAAAAAACCTAAAAGGGAGGTCAGTTCTCGTGCGACTTTTATATGAATCAATGTTGATATTTCTTGGAACATTTCATGAAGCATAATTTGGCAAATGGCTACTTTATTTTTATGTTGGTAACCATTCTGTAACCAATACATTTGACCAACTTGGAACCATGGTGAAGAACTGCTGTATAACTTAATAAAACTTTTCAGGTGGCCTAGTGGTTAGAGCATCTGTCTCATATGCAGGAGGTCATGGCTTCAAACCCCAAATGAGTCAACCAATGACTTATAAAATGGTACTAACATCTCCCACACTAGGCATTCAGCATTAAGAGGTTAGGGTTAGGACTGGTCAGCCAGGTGTCAGGATAATATAACTTATTAATTATTAACTATCTGTAAATCTGGAAGATGTTTATGAGTGAATCTGATTTCACCTAAAACCAAATCATTTTCTTTCCCAACCCAATGGTCATATCATGAAGTAAACAAATCACATTCAACACTTGGTTAAATTTCATTGAAATACTCCTAACCATTTTAGCATACTATTTATCTTGCTGTAGTTGTCATTATTCTCTGAATTTAGTTACGTACACCAACAGTCTTTTGAAAATGGGAATGACATGTTTGATGGTCCTTAGAACTGTGGATATGCTAAGTCATATGGAAGATTGATCTTGCCTTCATTGATTGGTCCTTTATCTTTATTGTGTGAGGAAGGGATGCAGGAAGTCATGGGTTCGCTCTCTGGCCAAGTCATACCAAAGACTTTAAAAAATGGTACTAATAACTACCTCGCTTGGTGCTCAGCATTGGTTAGTGTTAGGAATGGTTGGCCTGGTGTCAGAACATGTCTGTGGCATGATGCCCCAGTGCTAGACATAATTATAAACTGTCACATAGTGATATGACTGAAAACAATTGTTAAAGCTATGTTAAAAATCTTAATCACACACATACATATTGTACAACTTTGATCTTTCTTGCATGGATACTGTACTACTTAAATCTTAAATACAGCTTTGATCTTGCATGGATATTGCATAATTTATGCATTTACAGGGCTCCAAATTGTGAGTAAATTACTCAAAATTTTGACCAAAAGTTCTAATTTGCAGGTCAGTTTTGCCGAATAAGTTGCTGAAGTTTGACCCTTCCTCCCCCCCCCAAAAAAAATGGGCTTAAGCTCATTGATATCAATCACAGGGATTCTTACCTATCTTTTGTGATACATGTACTATTAAAAAAAAAACCTAAAAGGGAGGTCAGTTCTCGTGCGACTTTTATATGAATCAATGTTGATATTTCTTGGAACATTTCATGAAGCATAATTTGGCAAATGGCTACTTTATTTTTATGTTGGTAACCATTCTGTAACCAATACATTTGACCAACTTGGAACCATGGTGAAGAACTGCTGTATAACTTAATAAAACTTTTCAGGTGGCCTAGTGGTTAGAGCATCTGTCTCATATGCAGGAGGTCATGGCTTCAAACCCCAAATGAGTCAACCAATGACTTATAAAATGGTACTAACATCTCCCACACTAGGCATTCAGCATTAAGAGGTTAGGGTTAGGACTGGTCAGCCAGGTGTCAGGATAATATAACTTAATGCTACACGTCTGCAACATGATGCCCTTCCATAATATTGCCACACTGCAGACATCATACTGATAGGACTAAAAAATTGTTAAAGCAACATTAAAAATCCAGTTCACTAGCACACACATACATGTATTAAAATGTATAATTCTTTTCATATCTACTTGTTTTATTTAATATCCATCTTGTTAAACATAGAGTGAATAATGTTCATAGATGTAAAATGTAGAAGCAATCTTATAGGTGTTAGGAATTATGATTAGAATGCATTTGCCTCATGTTTTCTTCACCTGTATTTTATTATTCCTACCTGTGTCAAGGTGTTTGGTGTTTACTACTGCACTGACCTTTACTATTCCTACCCCTGTGTCATGATGTTTGGTGTTTTGGTTACTGAACAACATTGTGGTGTTTGGGTTACTGCACAACATTTTAAAGGTTATATACTTTTGAGAGATTGACATATTTAAGGTGAAGTCTGCATATGAAACATGCAAAGTGGATAGAATGTTGGCATATCTCTGCTGATTTGATGTAATGTGGCTCACATTTCTTTGGATACTGTACTTACAGAAATTGTACATGATCTAAGCACACTGCTAACTAAAATGACTGCTCCCTTATGCTAAAAATATCAGCCTGAATTAGTCTAAAGTGTGCTATCTTTAGCACCTATTAAGAAAGGGAAAATGAATTTTGCCAAACTAGACAATACCAGCTTCTGAAAGTGCAATGGATTCATTATCAAATATATAAAATATTTCCAATGTATCTCTGAAGTCCAGGAAGTGAAAATGACCAAGTGTAGCCAGCAGTTTTTGAAAGGTGCACATCTAGAGTAAGGCCAAGCTGTATACACTATTACATAAATCAATCATAAACTAAAATAAAGAGAATAAAAGGTTCTTTGAACACAATATCCAACATATACAAGGTCTTCAATAAATAGCCTGTATAACCAGTGAGAAAACCAGGGGAAATTATGTTTCTTTAAAATTTGAACTCTATGCAAAAAAAAGAAACTGTAGAGCACCACCTTATTGGTCACGAGTCTTACACCTACATCAGTTAATAACTGTAGTTCCCTTCATTGGTGGGGACACGTGGTCAATATATAGAGCATTCTTTGGTTAAAGTTTTGATTCTGTTTCATGTTAAAATGAACATTTTATCCAGTCTGCTTTTGGTCAGAAAAAGTGTGGTTCTTTTGTCCCTCAAATATTTTTCCCCCAATATTTACACACACACAGATACAGATATATATATATATATATATATATATATATATATATATATATATATATATATATATATATATATATATATATATATATATATATATATATAATGTTCAAATACATCTTATCCCATACTTTTCTCCCTATACCACTGTTGCCCTGGTGAACCCATGAGGTCAAGAAGAACAATGCTTTCCGACTTTTCTTCTTCTTTCAATAAAACCTTGTCCAGTTCTATGCATATTTTAAGCATATTATCACATCACTTTTTACCACTTTAGGATTTTTTCCTTTGATGCGATCTTTTGGTCAAAATGTTCATCCTACAGCATAAGACACTGATACTTTGGGGGGAGGGGTAAATAACATATGCTACGCCTTACATTGTTGGACTAGTCAAAATGTATATCTTTTTATTTTAGTTTTTTAGCTCTATTGATTCATGAACCAGAAGTACCTATGGAAAGGCATATTGTCTATCCATTATAACAAGTTTGCTATCACACAGAATCGCCATGAAACATCACCCATACTTTTGATCCAAGGTCTAGTTGGTTGCCTATTAAAACAATGTTACTAGAACATACAATATGGCTATTACAGTAATTATCTTAAAAATCTTGTTACTAATATAAATCTCAAGTATATATCAAAATGGAGTCTTCACCAGATAGATAACTTCTAGTTGGTCAGTAATAAAAATGCATACCTACCAGCCATTAGAATTTTGGCTCAATCATTACATTATTTATCCCTAAATTATATCTTATACTGACTGCTAAATGGATTAAACCATTTTTGGTACACAGAGAATGATAAAGCTATCAAAATATGCATCATGTTTGTCATCCCACTCATCATTAAACTGGAGAATATTCTAGAAAAGAAGGCACATGTATAAATATGGCATAAATGTAGTTTTATTATGTCAAGCTGTATTCAAATAATTTTAAAACAATATATATAAAACAAATGTACATGGATGGAATGCAAGATGCTTCAGGTATTATAATTGGGTATAGAAATAAATGATACTAAATAATGAGAGAGACATACTGAAATATTCCCAATGATAATTATTTGGACAGGTTATCACTATTCTGATTTTCAAAGATTCTCACCAAAAAACACAGGATTCCTTTTTAAAATGAAATTCAGGACATGTTCAAGGGCATCTGTCACAAATTTTTACATT